TGAGAAATGGTAGGGCACCAGGCCCAGGAGAAATATATGGAGAACTGATAAAGTGTGGGAACAATAAACTCTACAAACATTTAACAAAACTATTTCAAACATGCATAGATAAACATAAAGTACCGGAAGAGTGGAAAATTAGCTATTTAAGAACGATATATAAGAAGACAGAAACAAATGCAAGAACCACCGAGGAATTGCAGTAACAAATACGCTGAGCAGAGTGTATGGAAAACTTATAAAAGCCAGAATAGAGAACGAGTACAAAGATAGTGAGGCAGAAGAACAGGCCGGTTTTAGAGCAGGAAGATCAACTGTAGACCATTTATTCAGTTTGACCCAGGTAATGGAAAAGAAACTAGCCTATAACCAAGAACTCCATTTACTTTATGTCGATCTAAAGAAAGCATACGACAATGTTCCGCTGAAAAAGCGAAAATTGATAGAAGAGTACGAGAAATGGGGTTTGGAAGTAAATCTAACGAAAACAGAATATATGACTATAATAGGAGGTGAATAACGAAATCTGAAATTGAATAACGGACAAGAAATAAAACAATGCACTGAATACAAATATTTGGGCATGAAAATCTCACATGAGGGAACCCCAGACGAAGCAATTAAAGATCGGAATATACAAGGACGGAAGACAATATCCTTACTGAATGGTTTATTGTGGGATCAAAATATCAACAAAACTAACAAAACGAGAATATACAACACCATAGTCAAAAGCATAGTCACGTATAGTTCAGAAGTCTGGCCACTATAGATCAGAACCGCAAAAATGCTAGATGGAACTGAAATGGACTTTTGGAGGAGATCGGCAGGCGGGTCAAAAATGGAAAGGAAAACAAATCTGAGAATTACGGAGATTATGGACGTAAAACACACAATAATAGATGATATAAACACACAATAATAGATGATATAAAGGACAAACAGCTGATTTGGTTCGGACATGTACAAAGAATGGCAGATACAAGAATACCCAAGCAAATAATTGAGTGGAAGCCAGGGGGAAGAAGAAGACGCGGCAGACCAAGAAGAAGCTGGAGAGGCGGAGTAGACGAGGAAATGAAAGACAGAGGCTTAGAAGAGGATGCCTGGATTGACAGAGATGGTTGGAGATCGGGAATCGTAAGACGTAGAAAGTTATAAACCTATAATTAAATATATAAAAAATGTGATCTACCTAGGAGTAAGCCTAGATAGGAAACTCAACTTCAGCAACCACTGTAAATGGGTCAGAAGAAGAGCAGGACAAGCAGTATCATCCATATACCTTTACTCTCGACAGGTTGTAGCTGGAAACCAGAAACAAAAATAGGCCTATACAGAGCATATGTCAGGCCTATAATGATGTACGCATATACCCAATTTGAAGTTCCGCGGCCTGAGCGAACAAGGCACCTATTTTCAGATTGGAGACTAAGTGCCTCAGGTGGCCCTCAATGTTAAATGGGATTAATTTATAAACAACCATATAGTCTACCATAGAGCGATTGTCAGACACATTCGAGACGCTCAACTCGACAAGCTCAGAGGGGTCGTATTTTCGAATTCATTCGAGTACATTTCGTACATGAAATTTGACTGACAGCAATGTAAATTGAATGGGGAGCATTCGGAATCGTATCAAATTTCGTATGCGAGAATATTCGAACATACAACCCCAGGGGTCGTATTTTCGAAACCATGCGAATTATTTCGCATGCGATCTAATTCGCATGAAAAAAATCGTGTACGAACTAAAATGCGTATTTTTGAAGGCCCTTCGAAAATGATATCGTATACGAGTATCATTTGCCTTGGCAACGTCGCAGATTCGAGTATTTGGTAATGGCCATTTCGACAGATACAAAAACGAAGAAGAATTTTTCGACATTTGACTTTTGTTGTTGAGAGATTATCAAAGATGCTGTCAAATTTAAATTAAAATGTCTGCCAAGGGGTACACAAACCCTTTGTTTATGTGTTATCAAATGGTGTTATGAATTTTAAATAATGCTAGTTGTGAATTATCTACGTTGTTATACCTAAAACTGTTGTTTTTATTGTTAGAAATAGTGTATGTGAATAGTAGTTTGTGTTCCTCCTGCCGGCCATATTTTGCTTGCCAAAGTAACGTGTTTTGGATAGGCTAATTCTTTTTTGTATTTTGTGGCTGTTTATTGAGTTTATCCATTGAGTTTATCAAGTATTAGAGTCTATTCTGCTGGTAAAGATCTTGCTGAAATAAATTTTGTGCACCTAATCGTTGGGATTTCCTTGAACGTCCTTGTTTTTCATAACGTTAACGAACAATCATGGTTTTTGGAGGGCTTGTGTAAGCAGAGCAAAAGAAATGTTTGATTAGCTTCACGGGGGAGCATCCAGAACTAAAAATCAGGAAAATTCAGCTTCCAGGTGCTAAAAAAAATTAGAAACATTAACGCAAAGTAAGCAGATCAACCAAAGTTCTTCGAGGCCATCAATAACATTTCTTTCGATCAAATAAACCAAGCCAGCCATTCCAAATATTTTTTAATTAAGCAGGAAAATTTAATCCGCAAATCATTTGGAAACGAATGAAAAGTCAAGGAGAACGAACAACGAACACAATTTTCAATTTGCACAACGTATTTAGGTAGGTACCTACACAAACAACAAATATATCGTGTATAAACAAAATAAAGCACATCAAAATTCCAAACAATGCGCAGAATCAAGTAAAATCGCATGCGAAATGTGACATTCGACTGGTGGAGACCCACTAGAGTAAACGTACACGAACCAAATCGTGTACGGACCGTTCGAAAGTGATTCGAAAATACGGAACCTCAATTTTCATGCGAATTTCGCCTTAATTCGCATACGAACGGCATTCGAATGGTTTCGAAAATACGACCCCAGGACCTTCTGCGAGCGGACCACCAGAAGGCTACTAAGTACAAACAACATAGGAAGATGCACGAGAGGACAATTACCCTACATGATCAAGCATACAACAATAAGGTAATAAGGGAGTAGCGCTGAACAACAAGAAGTGCAACGAGGGCCACATACCTGAGGACCACCTACTGCATAATGGAAGAACCAAATAAACCCCTAAAAATAATCATACACCAGGGTCCTTATTCTTGAAACAGAGGAGCAGCGTTCCCAGGAGAATGAGTGTTCCGTCTTTGTTACTTATATTATCATTTGCATATCATTGAGAAAGACGAAACACTCGGTCTCCTGGGAAAGTTGCTCCCTGTTTCAAGAATAAGGACCCAGAAGACTTCCCATCTTCGAGCGCCAAAAACCAGAACAAGACTCTCCAGTAAGACATGTCCGAAAAAGCTCAACTATGTCGTTGGGGAAGGTACTTGATATCAAGTCAAGAGATTGCGTCAATGGCACTTTTGTGAATAGAGACACGACATCAAAGCTGACCATGATATTTTTGGGTTGGAGAATATTATTTCTAATTTTCTGGATGAAGTGAGTGAAGTCCTTGACGTAAGAGCTAGTTTTTCCTACATGCGGTTGAAGAAGCGATGCAAGGTGTTTCGCTAGGTTGTACGTTGGTGCTCCAGGTGCACTCACTATGGGTCTTAGCGGGACTTCAGGTTTGTGAATTTTTTGTAGGCCGTAGAGTCGTAGTGGAACCGCTTCCGTTTTAATGATGCTTTTCTTAACCGTGTCAATTAGGCTGGATGACCCAATCAGTTTGTTGGTGTTCCGGAGTATGGATTGGGTAGGATCCTTCTTATCTTTCGGAAGGTAGATGGATCAAGGAGTTCCTGAATTTTCCGGTTATCCTGGTCAGCTTTGATGTCGTGTCTCTATTCACAAAAGTGCCATTGACGGAATCTCTTGACTTGATATGAAGTACTTTCTTCAATGACATAGTTGAGCTTTTCCGGACATGTCTCACTGGTAGTTACTTCTTGTGGAACGGCGATTTCTACTAGCAAACGGACGGTGTAGCTATGGGAAGTCTGCTCAGCCCGGTCATAGCCAACTTCTTTATGGGAGTAAATCATTGGAGTAAATTCACTTGATAAAAATACTTGATATTGAAGTTTTTTATTATTATTATTAATTAGGTGTACCACGTGAATTGTAAATTGTAAGTATTTTTATTAAGGGAGGTAAGTACCGCTTTTACTCCTACTCAAACAATAGTCTATTTCCAAGATTTTGACAAGCTGTCATTTCGTTTCGGAAGAAAATAATAAGACGAAATTCTAGGGCCATAAAGAACTCGATGATACCTTTAAAAAAAGGTATAAGAACATATCGTCGGTCAATTTTAATCTGATACTCCAAAGGAATGTGAGTTGGTGGCTCCCTACATTAGAACGCCAATAGTTACCTGACTTCACACCTGTTTTTGCCATATAAAACACCCCATCGCTCCTCATACGGAAAGTGTCAGATTAAAAACGAAACGACACACTTCAGGTACCAGCATTCCAAAACTTAAATTGGATAAATGCAACAGGGGAAAACCAACAAATATAAATTTGGCTCACATTGTATATTAGAAATATTATTTTGTAGGAGTCCCTTATAGATTTTATCCACATCACGTCTCCGTTTTTGCCCTTCACCCGCTAGAAAACTGATCCTATTAACACATAAATCTGCCAAAGAACGAACAACCACAATAACTTCTATCGCAGCAGTCACAAATCCATGAAAAATCCTTATTAGAATCACGTTTTCTATTCCTTGTGTACACATTGCCAAAGCCGCGTCGAGCTGTTTATCGAACCTAGTCGTAAGTTATGGCCGCAATCACGGAAACCCCTTTGCCCCATCTTCAATGGAGTGAAGTGAGTGTATGTGGCACTTTGTATCCTGTGAGTGGCTGTGTAGATATTTGTCGTGGACTAATAGAGATTTTAGAGCAAACGCGTTGACTTGGGATAAACAGGGTTTGATTTTAACTACAGCTAGTTTAAACACCCTCTAGTTTCGAATTCTATGTCTACTTAATTACTTTGAGCCAATTTGTATTTTCTTACCTGTAAGTGAATTATATCGCTGTCAGCTAAAATTGCGGGTACAACAAACGTGCCTTCTCCATTTGAAATTTCAATATCTTGAGAATATATTGATGTTGTATTGTCGTAAACTTTTACTCGTACTCTCACTGACTTTTCTGTGCTCATAGCTTCAACCTAGAAGAAAGATTTATAAAAAAATTAACATAAACCTAGTATTAGAAGAGAGTTCTTTGGCAACTTTTCCAATTGGTTTTTGTTTTTGGATGTGTTCAAAAGTCATTATTCATTAGCAACTTATTCCGGCTTTTGAAAAAAGTTTGCTGAACACACAAAAGCAATTTTTGATTGTTTCTTTTGTTATAAATTGTTCCATAAAAAATCAAACAAAAATCATTCTGATTCTCATTCGTCTACATAAAAAGATTATTCATAACGCAAAATGCATGTTGATATTGTTTTCGCTGGCTGACAAAGCCACTATGTGCTTTAGGCAGACAACGTCGAGTTACGTTGCTTTCCGCAAAACGGATCCGACCAACCAACGTTTCTATTCAAAAGCGCTGAAAGCTGTTAAGCCGGCGATATTGACAAAATAAACGTAATAAAAGAGGGAATGTAACAATGTTACATGGCTTCAATGTAGACAACTGTCTTTTTCATTCTGGGAAATGTGATTATTTTGCATGACATATATTTTATAAGATGAATTTTAAATAGGGAATTATATAATATTATATCTACGTTGAATTAGCACTAAATCTAAATTGAATGAGATAGCATTTTACATTTGCAGCGATATTTCAGGAAAAATCCTGAAAGTATACGACGTTAAATCCCATCTTACATTTACTAAGGCCCCATTTCTTTCAAACAATAAAAGCTTATTACCAAGGATGTAAGAGGCTATATATTGTTGAAACTTCTCGACCATGAATCTGCCTAATTCGTTTTCGAGCTGAAAGTGTTGCATTTTCCCGACTCTTTATCAAATAAATGGCCTCATTTATACCACTATGTGGCTCATAATTTGAATGATTTTATGTCGGTCTTTTTAAATTTAAAATGGAATTCCGGCACTTACTTTTCCAGAAAATGGTAGCCCCGGTTTGTATCTTCTGCGCATTTCCGTTCCAAATTTTAATTCCACGTAGTGCTCTTCGGCAACTGACACATCTGGGAGACCTATTCCTATACCTGGAGCTACTTCGAACGTGGAATAGAATTCAGATTGTTCCACTTCGACTGTTACAAGCCAACGTCCTGTTAGGGCATATGGGCTTAGTGGAAGAGAGTATGCGATAACACCTAGAATATATAAAAATATAATATTTTCCGTAAATACCAAAGTGATTATTAAAAATCCACAAGAAGATAATTGAATCTGAATCAAATTAGGTTTGCCCAGTCGGAATGAGGCTACAAAGTTCAAATAACTTATTTTAATTTAAACTTTCTTGAAATTTTTGCGGATTATTGAAGTGACTTTGTTACGGAAAAAGTTTAAAATTAATTTTTCGCAGAAACATTTTTTCCCAACTTACCTTCATCGAGAGCAACTTGATCCCAAATGGCAACTTTGGTCCCTTGAGGGTCTTTGATGCTCACGGACCCTATAGCTCCAGAAGATATTTGCAAATCGTGATCTAGGGCCAGTACCCAGAAAGACACTGTAACAAAAATCATTCTGTATTTAAAACATTCAATAACACGATGTTCTATATGCAAATTTATCAGAGCCTTGAGGGGCAAAGTGGCGCCATCCAGGTAAAATGGCATCTCCTGGGGTGATAAATTTAATGATATTAAAGAGCACAAGCTATTCTCGACAGGCGTAATTTTGCTTTTAATCCCTGGCTAAACAAGGAATAATTTTGGCAGTAACGAGCAGAGAAAATAATTTTGTAGTGTAGGTACTTTTAAAAAATATCAAGTTAAATTTTTTTTAGCTAACAGAAACCATTATTCCAAATTTCGCGCTAGACATTGAACAGTAAAAGCAATGCTCTAACAAACCTAAACAGTGTAGGTATTATAATAATACTGTTCGCAGTTTTCAAAATATACTTTGGCGGATATGTGACTTCTTAATTAATGGCGTTGAGAACAGGATAGTACAACTTCGCCCTTTGTCAGTTCCGTTGCGAACTTGCATAACAAATGTGTGTTCCAGGAAAGTTTTCAGGTTTTCGCCAGGAAAATGTAACACACTGTAAAGTTAATTTAGTTTAGTGCATAACGCATAACGTTCCTCAAGCGTGCTTTGTTTTTTGAATAATGTGATTTGCTTTCTTTCGAGGAACGCACTAGGCGGACAGCGGACCGGTTATTTTGGGTAAATCTTCGTTTTCTTGCTTATTATTGATTCAATTTGCTTGACATCGCTCATTCATCACCAACATCGCTCACTTGTAAATGTATGTAGAAAAACACGACGGTTTTCTACCACACACTTCGGTTTTGGATCGACGTGTTTCATCGTGGCGATGAAAACCGACGAGAAAGAACGTAGTGTATGGGGCCCATACGCCCATAAGGTTTCATCACTGATCTGGTTTCATTTATTTGTTACCTAAGGCTGTGTTCCGAATGTAACCAGGGTTGTGGTTTCGAGGTCTCAAAAGTAATCAAATTACTCTGGTTCTTGGCAGAGTGGTTACTTTTGAACCTCGGTTTCCTGAAATCTGGTTAACAAAATGTCAAGATAGTTACCGGCCATCGGATGTCGGTTCTGTTGGTTTAATCTGTAATTTCTGTCTATTATTTTTTATTCCATATTTGCTCTCCCCAAGTAACCGGAATTTTCAGTAACCATCTGTCAACCGATTCGGTTACTTTAGTTCTGTTCCAAGTTCCAATAGATATGAGAACCGTTCTAGAACGGAAATTTCCAGTCGATCAATTCATTTGCCAATTAGGATAAACGTTCAACTTACTGAAAAATAGGTTGGTAACTGGAAATCATTAGTTTTGGAACGGTTCTCATGTCTGTTGGAACAGAGCTAACGGTTAACGTTTGGTTATATTCGGAGCACAGACTTATGTGCATAAACGTTTTGGGGCCTGGCACCCGGACATTTCCCCCCAACCCATAATGCCGGTGCATGAGCATCAGCACCCACGAGCTTTTCAAAAACCCGGCGCCCCTGCATCTATACATCTTCTTGGAAAGTGGGAACACAAGAGAATTGAACATGTTGATGTCAAATACAATTTTATATGTGATCTGTAACCTGCACTAAGAATATCTTAAAAGTTGAGTATATTATAATACTCATGACCAATGTCCAGATATGTTTTACTGAAAAGTGTTGCAGATTTTAGAACCTTGGGGTTGAGAAGATCTTTAAGTTAAGGAGGGGTGCATCGGACGTTGGATTTGCATGACCAAAAACAGACTGACTCATACAATTAATTATCAACCGTATAAATCAGATCTTCAAGACATTGAAAGAGGTCAGCCTCATAAAATAAAACCACACAAATTGGAGTTTGTATGCAAAGAAATCACGTTCCTAGGACAAATTATCAAAACGACAACAAGAAACCAAATCCCCTCAAAATCGAAGCAATTAAGAGATATCCATAACCCATATCCAATGCCAACAACACACAAATAAATAAATTCCCGACTAGTATACCATTTGATAAATAATGACATTATGTCAAAGTCAGTTAGATTCGAAATAATTCCCTATAGGGCGTTATGACTTTTTTAATAACATACGTTATGATTTTTTCCAGGTAAATGCTAGTCCTTGATTTGTTTTAGATTATTTTATTAAAAATACATTCAAAATTGTCTCATATAAAAAATAATTATACTTTAAAGGCACCACGGGTATTAAGGATTAATACCCATACTTAATAATTATATTGTATTATGTTGCCTAATAGAATATTATCGAAGGTGTATTCAAAATTTTTTCACTGACAAAATATTATCGAAAATGCTCCCAAGCATACTTTGAAGATTAGAGTTTCAGAATACTTTCAAAAAATGTAACCAACTTATATCATTATCATCATATCACTCGATACCCAGTATGATTATCTTCTATTTTATACTATTTTCGTCGATTCTGCGTTTTCTGATGGCTATATAAACCAATTCTGGAGCCGCACACTCGTCCACAGTCTTGGCACACACAGTCTTGGCACGCCCAGTCTCTGGCAGCATTGTCTCATCCTCTGTTCTCGCGCTCCTTCCTGCGGTCCCTCTTTCCGGTCTCGTGTCTGCGTCGCTGTTCTACAAAATTTTGTGGTCCGTCGTGGACTACTCGAGGCTATGAAGGCCTATCATTTGCCGTCGTCTCCCAGTTGCTGGTATCGATCCGGCCCTTTGCCATATTTTCCTTTAGAACATCTTTGTAGCGTTTTGTTTACCTTCTTGATTTCGTTTTCCCTATTTCAGATGACTGTAGAGAATCTGTCATGGAAGACCTGTTTCGGGCATGCGGATGAGGTGAACTGTCTAGCGAAGTTGGTGCTTAATGATGAGTAGGATCCGTCTTCAGCATCGCTGATGATATTTTTCTGGGCATTTTATGTGTCTTCTGTAGGGGGTCCATGTTTCGCAGCCATATGTAAGTGTTGGTATTACTCCTGCATTGTAAACGCGAAGTTTGGTCTCAGCGCTGATATCGTGGATGTTGAAGACTCTATCTGAAAGTCGCCCGAATGCCGCGCTAGCACAGTTCAAGCGATGTTGGATTTCAGCGTCAATGGTTCCATCCGCCGACAAATAACTCCCAAGGTATGGATAGTGTTCTAAATTCTGCAAAGAATGGTCAGCTATAGTTATATTTGGGGCTTGGGGATTAGTATCCGTTGCGGGTTAATGCAGAATATGCGCCTTATAAAGGTTGACTGCGTCTCTGGGAGGCTCTCTTCGGCAGTTGGGATTAGACGATTTGATACTATCCTATCCAGAAAGTAAAGCAAAAGACATCATCCATTTTTATCTAAGAGATCAAACATAAGATTTTTGAGGATAACAAAAACACAAAGTCACAGTCTCACAATTTTTCTGTTGGCTACATGTATTTCGCTCTAATCAGAGCATCATCAGGCCTTAAAATACACACCCTTAGCACACATTAAATAAAAATGAAGTTTCTAAGGCCTGATGATGCTCTGATTAAGGAAACACGTCTAGCCAATAGAAAAATTGTGAGACTGTGACTTTGTGTTTTTGTTATCCTCAAAAAAAAGAAAGTAAAGATATTCTTCTGTAGTTTCCACATTGAGCTATGTCTTCCTTTTTAAAAACGGTTACTATAGAGGCATTTCTAAGTCATCGAATCTCTAAGTTCGGCTGCTATGGTCTCAGTCTCAGTTATCCATAGTTTAGTCATAAGGATGTGTGTTTGGGCACTTAGGGGCCTCCTTGTTTAAAGAATTCAGCAGGAATGCCGTCAGTACCAGCTGACTTATTGTTCTTCAGTTGCCTGTACTCGTTAATTTTTTGTTGTTATTGGTTTCTGTGGAATTCCGTTGAATATGTCATTATCAAATTGTGATTCTCTGTTAGTAGTTCCTGAAAGTGTTCCGAGAATTAATGGAGGAACTATCGTTGAGCAGTTTTGTGCCATATTTGGATCGTAAGGGATTGAGTCCTTGATTATTTGGTCCGTATACCATATTAGTCGCCTGAAAAAAGGACAAGAAGCCGTACCCCAGTCACAGAGCTTTGAAGTCGCGCGCATCCTCTGTCATTTATTTGTATGTCAGTTTTCTCAGTTTCAGCTGATTATTTGTTTATGTTTAAGCTTGATATCGTAATCTTTATGCTGAGCTTTAAAAATAATTTTCACGAAAGTTGAGAAATATTGGCAGTCTAAATATAACCACTGCCTTCTTCGTACTTTTTTACTTCTATTGTTATGCTTGTTAAGATATTATAATATTAATGTGGTTTTCTTCATAAATTGTTACTCATCTATATTTTCCTTTCCACTAGATTTATTCATCTATGAAAATATAAAAGGGATGAGGAACTGGATGCAATTTTACAAACAATAAGCAGCACTATAAAGGAAGCAAAATTGGCAGAGGATAAGTAAAAGTCTTCCTTACTATACTAGTCTACAGAATATGTCAATCAATGCAGAACCCAAGAAGAATTGGATCTATTACAGAATGGAGTGGATAAAGGTCTGCGAGTCGAGGAACTTCAACATATTTTATAAAGGTCCGCGAGTCGTGAAATTTACATATTTTATATTAATCCGCAAGTGGCGGACCTTTACTTTATTTTTTAAAGTTCCGCGATTGGCGCACTGAATATATACACTAGATTCAAGATTGGTGAATTGATAACATAACCTGTTTATGTTCAATTTGGAACAGGCCCTCTAGGGCTTCTAGACAGAAAATGCGGACTTACCCAAAATAACCAGTCCGTCTAGTGTGTAACGAAGTTACTTAAATTTTACATTCATACAATTATTCTAATTTATATCCAAAATAATAATCACATATTCGGTACCGTAATATTTAAGCGCGTGACCTTGCAGCAAACGCTACATTTTAACACGAAGGGACATGGTACAGGCCCAAGCCGCATTCCGATACAGCAGAAAACAACAGTCGGCGTCGTCACCGGGCGGCGATTCCCTATTGTTCTGCGATTATAAATAGGGCAAAAATTGCGAATAAAAGGCAGTACCAGCCGACGCTTGAGT